CTTGGTATCTGCAGAGGAGCCTGGTTGCTCCTTCTGCAAGGATTCTCGCTCTTCTGGTAACAGAAGATCAATTCCGGGTTTCCCCGGAGGGATGGTCTCATCCTTCCTGAGCTTCGTCATGTTAACCTTGATGAGTCGAGTCCCAAGATCAAGTCCTACCATCGCTCCTTCAATGGAAATGACCTTTCCTTTTAGCCATATTCCTCCCTTGCTTCCATCGGAACGGATCTTGGATTTGTCTTCCTGCCAGTAGAACACCTTGTCCTTCACCTGAAGAGGCTTTGAACTCATTCGGAGATTTTGAGCAAGGTCTCGTCGGATGTCTTCGGATTGACGTGCTTCTTGGAAAGCTTGCTTTGACAGCTGCTTGATCTGGATGGCTGTCAGCTCTTCTTCATTCCTGTCAATCGTCAACTGAGTTGGTGTTGCGACATCGAGTTGGATGAGATCTGCTGGTCGTCTTCCGAATGCGAGCTCCAATGGTGTTACACCCCCGTAGGTGACGGTCTGATTCCTGACAGTTGCAGCGGCCTTCACTAGCTGCCTGTATGTCACTTTCTTCAGTGTTGCAGGTGCTGTACCTGCTTTGATGGAACTTAGCATGATCTTGAGTTGTGCCATCAGGAGTCGAACTGCTGCTTCAGCTCGATTTGGCCATGGTGTATTCGGTCCCAAGGATATCGGTGTGATGTCAAGGGACTGATAGAAATGTTCCCATGTATCTGTCATGAAGGCTTGATCTGCGACAACTGATTTGGGCTGCAAGTGGTACTGGTCAAAATAGTTCCTGAGGACAGTGATGTTCTCGGCTTCTTGCGTAGTTGTCACTGCCTCTGCAGTGAGCAATGTTGTTGCTCCATCCAGGATGACAAAAACAATGATGTGTTCTCCTGTTCCAAGAGGAACTTGACAGTGATCAATGAATGTCATGTCACCAAAGGTGTCCGCTCGAAGTCCGCTTGTTTTGCTTCGTGACGGTGCATGTTTTGCCGCTTGGCAAACTTCACACTCACTTCTGATCTTGTCAAATAGATCGAATGTTGATTTCGGCAAATGAAGTGCCCGGGTTCTAAATCAAAATTGATCTGTTGTCATGTGATGATGCTGTAGGTGGAGTTTCTTCAACTCTTCGGGATTTGGCAATCGCTTGTGGATTCTGCCTAGGGCAAGCGGAAGCGATGTTGGTTCTTCTGAGGATGGTGCGAAAGGATCTGGCTCAATAGTTGACCGGCCCCTCTTGTCGATGATCCTGTCTGCTGCCGACCCTGAACCTGCTTCTTCGTCCTTAAGCGAATTGTCCGCGAAGGTGAAAATGGTCTTACCTGTCCACAGGTTAATCATCGGTTTATTTGCCTGGGATGTAAGTCTCCAATTGTCTTCTAAAATGTCTGGATCTCCACCTGCGGATGCATCAATGATTTCCGTAGTACGTTCTCGGCTGATGTGATCAGGATTGATTGGACATTCCTTGGCTCCATTTGGTGTGAACAGCGCCTTTCGGGGCGTGATGTGCACACGGATGAGCTGCTTGTTCTTCTTGTCAAGGATCCAATGGTCCTGCTTTTGAGACCCAATGATCTTAGGAGTTGCTAGGTCCTCCTTTGTCTCGGATGATTTTGCTGCACAAACAGTTTCGCTCTTGGTGAGATCCCCGGAGGGAAACTTGATGCTGTTATCATCGTCATAGACATAGTTGATGAGACCCTTGTGAGCAATTTCTCCCTGCGCCTTCACTCTTGCAACTCCAGATCGACGAGTGCATGTCCTGTACCGGATACTGGAACTGCTTGACGGTTCATGCCAAAGGCCTTGCATGTGATCTTGTCACATTGAGGTGTGTGCTCAATGGTCATGTAGAGGTTCCGCATCTGGCTGATGCTGAGAAGGATTGGTACAGTTCCTTGTTCAAGGACGTCGATGTTGGTACTGCATGGAGGAGTTGTGTGATATCGAAGATGCAGGGTCCAATTTACCCTGGCGGTCTCTCCGTTTGCAAAAGTGAACTTGGTCTCGGCCGGGATGTATTCAAAGGAGATGATGTCCTTCATTGGTTCGATGGCCTGAGTAAAACGCTGGATTGCATGCCAGCTGCCCGTAGATCTGGTACATCCATTGTCCAGAATCGCATAGGTCGGGTTGTGCTGAGGGTTGATGACAGGCGCCATCAGCTTTGTTGCCAGAAGGCTGTGATTTGTTGTGACGGACAGATTGTGTTCTGAAACTGTATCTGATTGGATCAGCTTCTCGTGGATGGCCTTTTTCCCAGGATGCTCATATGCATCATGGAATGCCATTAACGCTTGTCCTGTGCTGGATGTCTCATGGGATGAGTACCAGCCATGTTCGTTCCATGTCCATGATTGATCCCAGTCTTGGTCTGTCCAACCGGCATAGGTAGGCTCTATGGATGGTGCAGTCTGCTGGATGGCGGGCTGCTCCTCCGTCTTCTCTGCGGTGGCTGCGAACGTCTTGGATTTTCCTTTCTCCTGTCCGCTCTTTCCTTTGCCACTCTCATAGGATTGATAACCTTTGTTTCCATCATAGGGATATTGGAATATTGGTTTTCCTTTCTTTCCCTTCTTTCCTTTGCCTTTTCCCCAATATGCCGGGTCGTAGGGATCATAGTTTTCGTTGGCCATATTGGCCTTTCCGCCAGAACCGCTTTTTCTGAAGGGTTTAAAGCCACCTCGTTGGGGACTGCCCTTTTTGTTTCCTGATTTTCCTTTTCCTTTTCTCTTCTTGAACTTGAAGTTCCGCCCCGACACTTTTCTTGCTATGAACGCATCGTTCTCCTCGAGGACCCAGAACGTCTCTTCATCGTTGTTTGACATGAATCCTTCAAGTTATTCTTCATCCTCAACCCAGAAGCCTTCTTCTCCTTCGTATTCACCTTGTTCGATGATGAAGAATGTATTGCTTCGGTTGCCTCCTTGAGGTCGGATGGATGGATCTTGGATCGATGTCCTCGTCGTGATGAAGAGTTCATGGTAGTGCGTCTTCAGCATCTCATAGGAGTAGTTTTCGAGTGAGATGTTGAGATTGTCCCCGAAGGGAAATGCGTCCCGCTGTCTGTCCTGCATTCCTTGGATATACTGTCTGAGGACTGTTGGATCGTCCTCAGGGCTGGAGGCGGTGCTCGAACACCGGCTGCTTGCTGATGTCAAGCAATTGTTCTTGCATTTGCGTCCTGTACGGACCGTCGAAATGATGGGGACTGCCGTGAAAACGGGCATCAAGTCCATCCATGCTGCCTTCAATCTCATAAGAAGGATTTCGAATTTTGAGGTAAAAATGAGGAACTCTTGGTTCTGCCTTCTATGGTTGAAGAAACTGAGGAGCCTGTACAGATACACGTTGGTCGCGCCTTTCAAAAATAGTACTTCTTCAGCGTGTTCTTGAAATAGTTGACTCCTTCATCAGGATCTTGCAAAAGGTCGTTTTGGAGGACTGCCTTGTACATCTATGCATCTCCTGTCAATCTGCTTTTGAGCAGAGGTCCTCTCTTGGGTGCTTCCACCGTCGTGATGGTCACCCACTTTTCCGTCGTACGATGGCGGCTGCTTGGCGGTCATCGATAAATTTAGTGTTTCCTCCGTATAGCCTGGATTTTTGGCCATACTTGAATAGGCTTCCATGAAGCCTTCTCCATCGGATGACATCTTCCCTTGGATCTCTGCGGAAAACCTGCTCCGCTACCACAAATTGAGGCCCACTGCCCCAGGTGCCTATCCCAGAAGGGAACTGGTACCCTGTGGTAGTAGAGGTCGTTTTGTTGGTCCCTGGATCTATTCCGGAGAGAATCCAATATGCCAATGTGGATGATTGGAGGATGGATTGTCCCTGGTGGATTGTCTTGTGGATAATCCTGTAAGCGGCCTGCTAAGGTTCTTTTGCTTCACGCGATCATGAATGATGCAATGATTTTCAAAAGGGGCCTTGAGCCAAATGTTGCGGGAGATCAACTGGTCTGAGAACCAAACACAGGGGGGGGGGAGGGAGGGGTTCAGGGGGGGGGGTTGCGGATTTACTCGTGAAATCTCTTGATCTCTGTGTAGAAACGCAGGCCACAAGAGATGTAAAGAGAAATTGCCGATCCGAAGGAAGCCCACAAAAGATTGAAACCAAAAGGCTCAGGCTCCCTCTATGGTTGAACTACAAGTCGGCAGAAGGCTTGACATAAAAAGCAAATTCTTTCTTTAAGATCTGACCAGGAAGCCTGTCGCCCTTCTTTGTCCATCCCAGGGGTAGCTGGAAGGGGCTTGGCTTGCCTGTCATCAGAAAGGAGTCTCACTTGCCTGGCTTCTGAAGCGCCTAAAGGCTGGCCTTTGATCAGAAATCGTGAGACACATTTGGAGATACGAGTGAAACTCCTGAGAACCTTAGAGCGAGTGAAACGTGCTCCCAACACCGGGGGAACCCCTTTTAGGAGTGCGGGAAATGCATGTTCAGCGGGGAAGCCACCAAGCAAAATGGGACGTGCATTGACTTTTTAGTGATGTATGAATTTGTCTATCTAGTTGCTTCTTCATTGTTTTAGAGGGTGCCTTGGACAACTGGACCTTGAAAAACCACCGTGCCTCAGGGAACCTCCTTGAAAACTCACCAAAAACTCACGGAGCCGGTGGGGCTGTGAACCCAACGGCCTCCGTTTGGCCAATCTCAAGCCCTCACCACAAAGAGGCGCAAAGTTTCAGCCAAGGATTGAGCATGGAGCATGGGGACTTCGAACACCTGTGAGCGTTTTCTTGGGGGGTTCTCGTTTTGAAGAGGTCCATTCAAAAACACGCAAAACCGCTCCATGTCAACCCTTCGAGCTTATTCTAGGGGTGCCCTGCGGGGTTCTCTGACAGCAACCACCACCCTCTGAGAAAGAAGCCTTCCGCCCCCAAGTGTTTCATGTTTTCTCTCATGTTTGCGCTCCCAAACCCCGCAGCCAGGCTCCCCCACTCCTGGACTCCCGGACTCCCGGACTCCCGGCCCCGTGCCCTGATTCAGGGCGCACACGAAGACCAGGAAGATGAGCAGCACCAGGCTCCAGAACATGGCCGCCAAGCAGGACCGGAAGCTCTCCATCATCATCGCCAGCTCCTAGGGAGCTGAAGGGATGGCTTGCGTGGGGGCTTTTGCGGGAGGGTACCCTCCGTGCCGTGGATTTGGAGAAACCAACCCTGAAAAACAATACGAAAGGAAGGCCCCCAAGCTGCGTTTTGTGCCCATAAACCAGGTAGCACGTAGGTCACAAAGAGCTGGTTTGGGGTGAAAGCGACACCAAACGAAAACCACCCGATTTTTGGTGCCGGGGGTCCGCTACTTTTACTAAGGGGCCAACTGGCTGTCCAACCCGAAAAGAGCTGTACGCTACCTGGTTAACGGGTACAACCAAATCCTTTGCGAAGGGTGCCCCGTGCCTCTGGGTCACAAGCTCATCCTTAAACGCATGGTAGGGTGATCATGGTTTGCCTATGACTGGCATGCGAGAAGCAAACCAACTAAGAAACCAAGTCAAAAAGCCGACTCGAATCGGGCAAGTGCGCATTAAATCGCAAGGGATGGTGCCAGCTGAGCCGTGCCAAATACTCTTGTGTAAAAAGCGGTCCTATAAACTTGCTTTCGCGGACCCTTTCGCGATGCTTTCGCGACCCCATGTTTTGCTTTCGCGGGCTTTGGTTTCTTTAGAATTGCTTTCGCGACGCTTTCGCGGCGGAGCGTCACACAGCATGCAGGCTTTCGCGGGTCTTTCGCGGCGGGACCTTCTTTGGTTACTTTCGCGATAAGCTTTCGCAAGCTTTCGCGGCCTGCGTTTTGGCATTCGCGGGGATTCTATAGGACACCCCCCTTTACTACTTTGTATTGTCAGGGTTTCTGGCGCTGCTCAGCTGACAGCTGTTACTCAAGCTGCGCTGGCGCGGGGTTCTAGCCCGGTCCGTCCTCAGAACGTCCCATTGGACCCAACATACACGCGCACACCATGACACTGACCTATACAGCAAGCCCCCTCCCCAAGATCGCAACAAAGTTCTCCTCCAAGAGTTCCCTCTACGAATCTAGGCACGTGTCAAACGACTTCAACTCACACACCTCAAAAACAAAGAAGCCTCGTGTAAGGAAACTTCATCTTGGGTGAACTCAGTCGCAACGCGCGAACCTTTGAAGTCGCTACAGGGCCTTTTTTCACAGACCCACCCATCCACCCACCCCATTGAAAGCCAAGAACACCTCCTCCGCCCAGGCGCTCCTTGTACTTTACGCGCCTGTCTCTCTCTCTCTCTCTCTCTCTCTCTCTCTCTGCTTTTTCGCGTTGACGGGTCCCGGCGCGTGCGTTGCTTCCCTCCCCAGGGCAAACCGCTCGCCACTCCGCATCCCACAGCCCCCACAGCTTTTGAGACTGCGAGGCGCGCGGAAGGCCGTGATCACCTTGAGACTCCGCAAGACCCGGGCGAACTTGCAGAGCCGCAGCACCCGCCTGAAGCCGCGGATCTGCCAGCGGTCGACCGCCCCAACGAAAATGGGAAGAGGGGTCGGTTCAGTCGCCCAAACCTGAAAGTTCGCGAGGAAACCTGGGGAAGAATTGGGTGTGGCCTTTTGAAAAGAAACCACTGTTGGTTCGGTTTCAGGGGAAAACAAAAGGGAAAAGAGCTGGCTATCACCTGTCAAACTCAGAAGCAGTTGAATCCGCCGGGGCTCATCCTTGACAAGTCCTGAGCTTATCCAGTCACAGCATCCCCCTTGCAGCCACCCTGTCGACGAGTCGGGGGAGTGATCTTCATGATAAGCCAAGCACCTAACCCTCCAACTAATATAGGCCTTGACGGTCAAAACCAATGGTACCAGTTTGGGGTGGGTGCACCACCCATTTTAGTCTATTTTAGTGGGGATTGGGATGTTCACTGGGGGGTACGATTTGGATTTTGACCCATGGCCATATGAGGCGCACCACCGTGGAATTTGACCATCGCAACTCCATGCGAGCGGCAGGTACAGGACCGTGCCGTTGCCGTCGCGACCAGCGGACCAGCTGATGATCTGCTCGCACATGCTGAAAATGACGAGGACCAGGTCCATGACGTTCCTCAGGTCCCAGGATCTGAGGATCTGAGCAGCCTTCATGACCCAACAGGTCAGCCATTTGTTTACGGCACTTGGTGGGTAAGTGACCAGGTGCTGATATCCATTCATTGGGCCTTGCTGCCTTTATACACAACCATAACTGGGCTGCATTGGTCGCTCGTGAGTGCCCCCAGCTGATTTTTGCTTCAGTGCCACCCAAAACAAGATTGGCAACGCAGCTTCGTTCGACCTAACGAAGCGCCTCCTTCCCCCCAACCTGGGGTTTTCTTTTGGCTTCCAAACGAGACACTAACGAGGACCAAAACGATCTGGGGCCGATTCCGGAAACTAGGACCGAAACGACCCTCACAATAGGACCAGGACGACGTCCCGACGCCATCAATCCTGCCTTCGTTTCCCCGTCCTTTTCGCATCCAAGGTGCCACCCAGCGTTGTCGTTGGCAAAGAAGTATGCCCTGTGGACCACCATGCGCAAGACCACCTCTACCAAGAAGAAGGCCTCAGCTTAGTCGTCTGAATTTTGATTAGGCATCATTTAGGTGGTAATTCAAGTCCACCACTTGGCTCCCTAGTAAAAATCAATCACTTTTCACGCGGCTCCCTAGCAAACTTCATGACGACAACGGGGGGCTTTGACCAACGCAAGGGCATGAGTGCCTTGAAGAGCCCACCCAAAGGCTGTTTCGGAAAGGCGTCAGCCTCTCAGGGGAGACGTCTGGCAACGCAATGGAAGAAATCAAAGGATCCTGTTCAATCTGCTGCACCTGTGGAATGCTCACGGCCTTGGAAACAGGTGCAAACCTGTAGAAGGCTTCATCGTGAGGGGAGAGAGCTGTGATCCATAGGCTGCGCCCGCGAATGCTCGCGAAGCCCACCCGTAAAAACTTTATCACTTTACAGTGGATCCCCTTTGCATCATGAATTCAGCTTGCCACAACCCTAAGCACAACTGGCACAAATCGCTGGCACACGATCAATCAGGCCGGCTCTCAAAATCATATGCCCCAGGCTGAATGACCAGGGTTTGGCTTCTGGGGACAGATGTGTTCGCAAAATTGTCAGGCTGATCCAATTAAAACTCAGCTCTTTTTTGCTTGACCGCGGGTCTTTGCTTTTGTCGTGGAGGATCTCTTGTTGTGCCGTCTTTTTGTGGCTAAGGTAATCATGAAATGGCGCTCTCGCCAAGAGAGCCAACGTGCCAAGTTGGCCAACGCTGAGTGTGGAAAGCCGAGCGGCCATGAAGGCATAGTCTACATACTGGTATTCATCCGGCACGCCTGGACACTGCCCCCACCCCTTTTTCTTGGCAGTTTGTTAGGAAACGGATCCCTGGAGAGAATATTTGCCGTAAGAAGTCCACACTTCTGTGTTTGCAGCTGAAATAACCTTCCAAAAACCTCAAACTCGCATGGGACAATGCTGGGACACCCTTGGCCATGCTCAGCCTGACATCAAGCCGAGCAACCCGGCAAGCCCGCCTGCTCTGGTGTTTATCAATGGTCAATGTTCAAAACGCAGCCCTGGACTTAGAGTTTCTCTGCGAGCATCTTTGGGTAGAAAAGTGTTTGAAGACGCAAGGCTCGTTCAAACATTCACCTGGAAAGGGTGGCACATCGCATTTGTTGGTGCTTTGATGTTGCCTTTCGTTCCCCCGCCCTGCTCCTGGAGGGCGAACAGGTTTTGGGATCAGTGTAGGATTGCTTTATGTTGGGCTTTGCGGTGGGGTTGACATTGGCTTAGCTTCAGTTTAGGATCGGGTTACGCTTCATTTGCGGCTGAGGCTGAATTCAGGGCGGATCTAGGGCGGGAGGGGTGACCATTGACCCTGGCAGAAAAAGACTTCGTCCAGTTGCAATGAATCCACCAAACAAACAAGCATTTTGGCGACCACCAAACAACAAAAATGCTTGGAGGTTGTCATGTTCAAGCCTGCCGACGAAACCGTTCCCTTTTGGGAGCCACGTCCGTGACTCCATGTCCTACGCACACAAAAATATCTTCTGGGCAGGGGGGCGGCACCAGTTTTTCCCCATGCCTTTTGGGGGAGCCGCAAACTCTGAGGCCAGGCCTGCGTGCGGGTGCTGAAGGCTCCAGTCCTCCGGAAGAGAAGCGAGGGAAGCGTTTTCTGCGCGGCACACCCCCGGAAGTCGGGGTGACATGGGTACAGGGCGGCGAACAGAAAACGCGATATTTGTGGGTCTTCAGGTGGGGTGGGGTGCAATGGTTTGGGTTTTGAAGGGCGACTTCAGGTGGGGCGGGGGAAACAGGCAGAATTGGCCCTTCCTCTGTTGGGCATGAATTTAAACCGTCAGCTCCAAAGTCGCCATCGGAGCAAGTTAGTAGAGTTTGGGGCCGCGACTGATCTGGTTTATCTGCCGGACCGTGGCCCCACGCGCCACTGCCTTCTGATCAGTGCCGGCTTGCTCACGCTGTTGCATTTTGCCCAACCTACTGGCCGACTTGCCCTGCTTCCGCGGGCACGAATGCATGCCCCTTCTTTTTTCAGGACCAAAGGAAACCAAACCAATGTTCTAAACTGGGAACTACCCTGGTTAAAGTCACCATCTCAGCAGGTACCCAAGATACCCCTTTTCTAGCAGGCATTCGCACAAGGGAAGGTTCGGGTGCTCTCCCAGATTCCTGAAACATCGGAAATGTATTGGTGTGTACCTGGTTTACTTGCTATGTGTTCGTGTTTTTGTCCGCGAGGGCTTGGGCACCAACCATTTCTGAGGGCGTCCCCAAGAAAACCAAGGCCGGTCCGTCAGCCAGGTGATCCAGATGGCGTTGGCCAAGATGACCCCCTCGGGTAGAAGCGGTAGGTCCAAGGATGTCAAAGCTCTGGGTTCAATAATGTTAACCCTGGATTAACAAACCCTGGCTGAATAATTGGGGGGGAGGGGGGTGTCCCCTTTAGTGGGAGTTTATCACTTTTGGAAAGGACACCCCCTATAAATAGGACGGGTTTATTGGTCCGGGGTCTGCTTTGGGTTGCTTTGGGTCGGGGGGTCTTCGGGGGCAGCTCCCCCACTATTGGCCCAAAGCACCTACGACAAACCGATAGGCTGTCTGGGCGTCTGAACCCCCGAGGCCGAGTTTTCATTGGTTGCTGACTCAAACAAACAACGCCAAACAAGGCGAAGCAGGGCGCGAAAGTAAGCCCGAACAAGGCCAAATATGGCCAAGTAGAGCAACAAATGGGCTTTGCTTTAAACTTGGTTGACGTTTGAACGGGAGCAAACATTTAAATTGTAGCTGTTAAGTGGTTGGATTTCAACCACTCAACCACCATAAGCGAAAATGTAAGATGTTTTCCAACAACAACCCTGTAGATTCATTTCCCCTGTGTCTCCCCCTTGATTGGGGGGTTCGTTGCCGCAGGCCGGGGTGGGGGGGGGGGTGTATTTTGACCCCACCGGCCCCGCTCGGAGCGATGAGCGGGGCGCCATGGAGGCGTGCTGAAAGCAACGGCTCTGCTCCAGGCGGAAGGCCCAGCCGCTGCGCGGCGGCTCCTCCAAGGAGTACCACCAGCTGCTCCTGGGCCGCGCTTCTTCTCGTCTCTCTTCTCGTTGTGTGCTGTAGCAAAACCGAAGAAACATGGGTTTGGGTCAATAAAAGATAGTACCCAAAATGGAACCGGTTCCTCTCTTCAATCGCTTTGTGCCGTGGGAAGAAAGAAAAGAAACCTGGGTGTGGGTCAAAAATAGGGCAACCCCAAAATGGGTAGAACCGTGGTATATGGAAGCAAGGACTCAAACCTAACCCACCAACAAGAAGAGACAGTTTAAGCCCCCCAGTCCAAAGTGGTGCCCTCGGCTGGCAATGAACCACACAGATAACAAAAGGGGAACCCTGTTTAACCGCAAAACCCAAACAGGAAAGGGCACCAACGCAGCAAACCAAGCGAGCGCAGCAAAGCAAGCGAGCAAACCAGTTAACCAAGCGAGAGCGAAGCAAGCACCAACAGTGCGCGACCCTACCACCCCAAGTCCTGACCCACAGCCAGCCGGCCCCACACCGCCGGCTGGCGAGCCCGTGGTGTCCTTTTCCACGAGATCGCCGCGGCGCCGTGCGCGGGTAGCTGACGCTATGGCAAGATTAGGATGCCGTAAGGAAAAGCTTGAGCCAAACCGCATTGGGTATTGGCATGAAATAAACATGTTGTGATAAAAGTACATGCCCGCAAAAACACCCCCCTCGACTGCACAAAGAGATGGAGTGAATTTGGAAAGGCGCATTGGCCATTTTGAAGTTGAATAGCAGCAAACAAGAAACAAAGAAGATTAGGCTACCAGGGTTCGCAACCCCACACCCGGGCTCGTTTTATAGCCCGAATCCCGCCACCACCCCGAATTACGGGCATGGGGCGGATTCGCGCCTGTAGCCAAATCAAACCGGAGAGAGCAAAAGAAGAAAAGATAACAAAGATTCCACTCCAATATGGCAGGCATGAAACAAAGAGACATTGCAATGCAACCACCGTGAATCATGAGATTCAAGCGGATATAATTTCTGAATTTAGGGTTTAGGCGCTTTGGCCTGCTGATTGAAACATGGTGCTTCGACCAAAAGGTCCTGGTCTTAAAATTAGCACCGTCTAGGTGCTCGATCACTCGAGGACAATCGGCGGGGACACCGCCAGCAGCACGCAGCGGTTCAGGTCCGAATAGGACGCCCGGCGGCGGTGCACCGCAATCATGATCCTCACCCCTGCATCTCGATGAGTTCCTACACCAGCGGCATCAGCGGTGCGGGAAGACGTCGGTCGCCAGCGGCCATAGACGCCGGCGAGGATGATCACCTTGCCGTTACAATGTGTACCTGGCAAGACGATGTGACTGGCGCGATTAGCGCGTAGTCAGTCGCACATGCAAATGAATTATGAGTCGGTGATTAACCGAAATAGTGAAACGACACAAGGAGCGTAGTCCTGTATTCGTCGTCGTGCAGACAAACAACATAATAAAAACACCCTTAATTGCAAGCGCGCGTAGGCGCAATCGGGTGTGGCACAACGCTTGCAGAGCGTCATCAGGTATTACTGATGCCGTCCGCCGCCGCGCCGTCCCTTTCCCTTGTTGACATTCCAGTCCCCAGGGGGAGGAGGAGAAGGCTCGGTTTCGGCCAACTCCTCATCCTCACCCCAGTTCGGAGTGTGAGGCGAATTTGGATTCACGTATCCGCCGAGATCCTCTTGCGAATACTGTGGCCACCCCTGCGGCATTGCGCCAGGCCACATTTGCGGCATCATGCCAGCCATGGGCTGCGGCATAAAGCCTCCCATCGGGAATGCGGGATACATTGGACTCGGGTACGGAAAAGGGGCAGCTTGTGCGCCCTTGTACCCCGAGCCACGCGCGTCGGGCTGGTACCCGCCGGTTGGCGTCCTCGATCGGGCGGTTCCGCCACGACCGTACTGCCCGTGCTGATAGCCGTATTGACCACCCTTACCCTTGTAATGGTCACCCTTGTGACCCTTGTACCTTGTGACCCTTACCTGCATCTTGGTCACCTTTGTGGCCCTCGCCTTTAGGCCAGGGGTTCGCAGGGGCATTGCCCTTCCATGGATCCCCTTTGCCCTTCTGGTCCGGTCGCGGTGGAGCCGGGCGATGATCACCCCTAGGTGTAGCGGCTCGCTTGTGGTGTTTACCGGATGGCGGTTCTGCAAAAACGATGGCGCATTGGCCGTCACGCTGTACAGCAGGAACCATGTCGACCTTGTTGTGATCGGTATATATGTAAGCCTCAACATATTCGATTGGGGCCGTGATCGACCCGCCACCGGTTCTCAGGGACTTATGCTCAACCCTGAGAGTCTCGGTGATATCAAAATTTGGGTCTTCTTCATTGAAGTCCATGAGGCGTCGCTCAGCTTGGGCTACTGACATGATCACGTCCTCACGTGAGGCGCTTAGGCCATACAGTGGGACCAGATATCCATCCTCGACCGCGAGGCGATACGCATCATACATATATACAGAGAGGTAAAAAGCAAAGGCCGAATTTAGACTGCCTTTCCTCGTCATGTGACGGCCCCACTGCGCCGCGTGTTGTGGGTGGTTGACCAATTACGCGAGCACGGTCAAGCCCTCAGGGACTGGGTTTCCAGTCTCACTTTCCTCGATGAGCAACTGTTTCGCTACCCACCGTTCGAGCGCTTCATCACTCACTCGCACACACGAGCGAATGTCTTTCGAGGTGATGTTCTCAACCTCTTGAAATGCCACCTGTACAGTATCCGCAACGAGGTAAGGCGCACAGCGCAGACCGGAGATCATGCAGCTGACCACCTCACGGATCGGGTTTACCGATGCCATGAGAGGAGCCCAGATACTTGTTTCCCCATGATACCAGCTGTTGGGCCTGACTGCCTTGAGTTCGTCCAACCATGCCGGCTGCCCTCGCCTTATGCGAGAGCGTACCTGGCACCCATTCCCGATAAAATATCGGCAAATGACAACCATTGCATAGAATGGTGCCATACATATTCAAATGTGCGCATCGAGGGCACCAATAGTCGTGCATGGGAGCTTTGTCCCAGGCAAATGACTCCCCTCTCTGCGGGCCCGGGGCATTCAAAGTCCGGATCGCCCAAGGTCGGATGTAGATAACATCCCCTTCCTGGTGCAAATAACATGCGCGCCAGAACGGCGCATGAATTTCCTCGCGCACAGCAATAAAACCGCGTCGGGTTTTATAGATGTTTGCGGCATCCTCAATGGCCAACCATTTTAGGTCGATTGCCACGACAACATGTCGCTTGTCCATGTACGCGGTGCGTTCGTCAACGTAAAACTCGCCCTCATTGTTAGGGCTCGGCAGCTTGAGGAATGGCATCTTTGCACCTTCCAAGCCGATTTCAATCTCCCCCCTGCAGACCTTATCAGGTCGCATGGTAAAGACCGTGATGGCGAATTTGCCGGGTCGTCGAATGCACCTCGTCTTGAGGGCAGACCGATACTCCGGCATTGAAAGCAGCACATATTAAGGGACCTCTGCCGCTTCCATGGACCTCAACAATGGCCCGATCGGTGTCCGATCGCGCAGTGCCCAACGCTTAAAAACTTTGAATGGCACATCCCTCCCGATTAGGGTGGAGCGCGCAAAGATCACTTCACTTGTGATCTCTGCTGTGTCATCTCCCCTCCAGACCCTCCGTATTAGGAGTTCAATTGGGGGGTAAGCGGGATTCTCCTTCGCAAGGGTACCCGCCCACTTTGCCACGTCGACACTTGTACATTTAACGATCCCGTATAGGGCTTCGAAAAGCATCGGGATCAGAGTCATGGACATCCAACCTCCTAGCACATCGGGAACCGTCCCACACAAACGAAACGACGGTTCGCCAGGCTTTACATTCACCAGCTTTGGGTCTGTAGAGCCTGACAAAATTTCCAAAAGCATGTGCGATTCCCTGGAGCTTCGTCCAATGACGGCTGCGGGATCAGTAATCTCGGGGAAGTATCCAAAGATACCCTCCCCTGCGGGACAGACGATTCTGCCATACGTCCCGCTTGTAGGATCCATCAAAACTTCTTCACCCTCGTAAGCGAGGTTGTAGGTGCTCGCAATCGGACAGATGGCGGGTTTGTCCATCACCGCATCCTCAAGCGATGCTCCAATCGGGAGAACGCCCGCCGCATGCTCCTCGGCATCAGCTGGCCAACTTCCCAAAGACATACGCCGATAGTTTTCGGCACGAAAATAGGGAAATAGGGATTTCATCCTTCCTATTTCCTCCTCCGACGTGCGCCATGCCTTGGCCTCGTAGTATGGCGGTTCCTGCTTTGAGGGTACAAGGTCCCTAGTTTCCATCGATGAGAATTTGGCGACAAACGGCCCCATTCCATCATCATCTACATGATCCTCGAAATCTTCGTCCGAGATGTATTCCCTGGGCGGCTCGCCCAGGTCATTCAGGTTAACCTCTTCTAGGTTCACCATCGCAGGAGAGTCCAGGATTGTCTGGATTCCCATGAGCTCATTCCTAAACTGCTCAAAACTCCTTGGTGCAGCGGTCACTGAGGGCGGCATTGCGCCTTCCCAGGACTCGGGAAATATGCAAACATTTGTAGGGGAATACTCGTCATCAGGATATCCCGATTACGTTCCCGCGTCTCACTGATCAGCGTCGCGTCTAGTAAGCCGCCTAGGGCTTCAGATGGCGACGCCTTTGCGGGAGACGGCATTGCGCTCTTCGACACCTCGGCTTCCTTTGGGCGCCTTGTTCTTCTTGTCACCACTCTTACTCCCCTCTGCTCCGCTCCTTGGCGGTTCGGGAGGCTTGATGGGAGATTCTTTCGTGCGGGCTTTGCCTGCATACGGTCCCGGTATCTGCTCACTTCCAGCAGAGCCGCCGCCAGCCTCCCTTGGACGCTTGGCGGTGTGAGCAGACCCAGTATGCACAGCAGGCGCCGACCGCCTAGGATGGCTCTTGCTGGTCGCGACACCCTGAGGAGGCGGTTTCACCTACCTTGGGAGCCGGCTCCGCTTTGGGCGCCGGTTCCGGATCGATGACGCATGCCCTGAGGTCAAAA